ATCCTGGCTGATGGGCGTCCTGTTGTCTCTCAGGGACCTGTGGGCAGGAGGAAGGTTCCTGGGGACCCTGCCATGCTGGACACTCAGACTTGCCTCTGGCCACCTGCCAGGGCTCGTCTGAGCTCAGCCTCCTCAGGAACTAGCCTGAAATCTGAATCCTGGAGCAACCCTGGCAGGGCTCCTTGCTCAGGGTGAGGGTGCTGGGTGTTTTTCTAATTTATGGGGTCATCTGACCTGGCTTGATACATCCCACTGGCATTTTTTCAGGGGCAAGTGGCTCTGGCCAAGTATGATCACAAGCCCTTGACCTTCCACTGACCCATGCAATGTGCTATCCCCCCTTGCTTCGAGTCTCATACAGAAGCTGTCGGAGTGAGGCCTCTGAGCTCTGAGACTGGCTGCTGCCCTGCCGGGAGGGGACCCACAGGTAAAGGCTCTCCCAGGTCAGGACGCCTGGTCAGAGGCTGGAGAGGTAGCTCAGCCCATCCATAGCCAGTTTCCCAGGTGCACTCATGTATGCACCCACCATCCACCCACTTGCCCATCCGCCCACCCACTCATCCATCCATCCATCCATCCATCCATCCATCCATCCATCCATCCATCCATCCATCCATACTTCCATCCATCCATCCACCCAAGGGGTCAGCCTGCATCCACTGGTGGGCTGGAAGGACTTGCAACAAGTAAGTGGGGGGGGGGGTCACCATTAAAACACTCATCTGGCTCCTCATCTCATTTTTCCCATCTGTAAAAGGAGGATAATTATAGTTCTTAACTCATAAAGATGTTGTAGGGGCCAGAGAAATAGTGCAGGGGGTAGGGCACTTGCCTTGCACATTGCTGACCTGGGTTCAATCCCTGGTACCACTTATGATCCCCTGAGCCAACTATGTATGATCCCTGAATGCAGAGCCCAGAGGAAGTCATAAACACCAGCAGGTATGGACCAACAGTCAATAAATGAAGTTGTAGCTTCATTTTCTTTCTTTCTTTCCTTCTTTCTTTCTTTCTTTCTTTCTTTCTTTCTTTCTTTCTTTCTTTCTTTCCTCTTTTTCTTTCTTGTGGTACGGGGAATCAAAGCCAACTACTCACTCAAGCAAGTCAAATGCTCGCCACTACTGAGCCACAGCCTCACCCGTGAGGTTCTGACACATGGGATGATCTGACACACACAAGGGGAGCATGCAAGGGACCCAGAAAGCTGCGGGCATGGGAAAGGGTGTTCATCAGCTCACGAGTAAGTTAGCAGAAAAGTTTGGCCAAGAGGAACAATGGGAGTTAGGGTGAGTGCCTGGGGCCTGGGATGGTCCAAAACAGCACCTAGAAGGGAACCAAGAGCTGAGTCTCTGTTGGGGCCTGAGAATGTGCCAGGCTGAGGGAGCAACTCCTGCAAAGGCGCTGAGTCAGGAATGAGCTTGGTTCATTAAGGTGCTCTGAGCACCCACAAAGCCAGCAAGCAGTGGGGGAGCCTGTGTGGTAGGAGCGGGGATCTGTGAGGGGCGAGGCCTTCTGCAATGGGGAGGGCAGGGCCCTGGTCACAGGACAGCAGGAAGGACATTTGCCTTGCATGAGGCCCACCTGGGTTTGATCCCCAGCATCCCATATGGTCCCCTGAGCTCACCGTGAGTGATCTTTCAGAATCACTCACATCAATGGGGTGGGGCAGAAAGGGCTTGTGTGGACATGAGTGGAAGGAGTGTGTGTGGGGGGGGTGGAGATTCTCCAGACCCTGCTCCTGGCCGGCAGCCTCTCTGCACGGGGATGCACAGATGGTGGGACCTCCTGCCCTGGTACTTCTCTTCCCTTTGGCCAGGGAGGGAGCAACAAGGCCCTGGGATGGGGGTACACCCCAGGCATCCTGAGCAAGGGTTTTCACTCACAGCTTTTCCCTTATGGCTCAATAGATCAACTGTGACCCCAGCACTGTTCTGCAGAGGCCAGAGATCATCTTGTTGTTGTTGCTTTGGACCACACCCGTCAGTACTCAGGGATCACTCCTGGTGGGGCTTGGGGGACCATACAGGGTACTGGGGATGGGGCTGGGGTTGGCAGCCTGCAATCAAGCCCTACCCACTGTGCTATTCTATGGCCCTAGGGCCCATATTTTTTTTTGTTTTGTTTTTGGGCTACATTGGTAGTGCTCATGGATTACTCCCATCTCTGAGCTTAGGCATCCTCCTGGCAGTGCTCAGGGAACCACGTGGGGTGCCTGGGCTTGAACCCAGGTTGGCTGCCAGGGCCCTGAAGCTCTGGCAGATCTCCTGCAGATTTGGATGGGACCTTTCAGAGAAGGGTCTGCCCTACCCAGAGAGAACTTTTACTCCCCCTCCCAGAAGGGGCTTCCATGGAGCTGCTTCCATGACCTGGCATGAGTGTCAGCAGGAGAGGGGGGGCAGTGCATGGTTACCCCCTTCCTTCACTCCACTGCGTCCCTCTCTTCTGTCCTAGAGTTAGATGCAGTCGCTGGGCATGGGCAGGGGTACTGGCTCTCCTCTGAGGGATGCCCCCAGCCAGCTCAGGGAGCAGTGAGGATCAGCTCTGGGCACAGGGGGAGCATGTGGGCACTGTAAGTGGAGGTTCACTGTGTCAAACCCAAGAGCAAGGCTTGAGAAGCAGCTGGAGACAGAGGGTCTTTTACAACACTTTCAGGGGTTATTTCTAGGGAAAAAAGAAATCCTAGTCCCTTCTTTTTGTGCTTTGACTCAGAGCTTGCTGGGGGCTAGCATAGGCTTTGCACGCAGGAGGTTTGGGTTCCATCCCTGGCACCGCACAGTCTTCAAACACCACAAGGAGTGACCCCTGAGCTATACTGGTATAACCCTGCATCCCCTCCCCCGAAAAAAATCCCAAATATGATGTGTTTGGTAGGAAATGCAGCATGAGCTCCACTGGGGGCTGTTTCATTTCTCTTGGCTATGGCTGGACTTTAGGGCGCTGCTCTCTGGGGGTGGGGCAGAGTCTTAAGTGCAGGTGGGGGGGGGTTGGAGAGCCACATGGCATGGCTGATTTCTTTTTTTGTTTTTTTTGGGTCACACCCGGTGATGCAGAGGGGTTACTCCTGGCTCTGCTCTGCCCTCAGGAATTACCCCTGGCGGTGCTCGGGGGACCATATGGGATGCTGGGAATCGAACCCGGGTCGGCTGCATGCAAGGCAAACTCCCTATCCGCTGTGCTATTGCTCCAGCCCCCATGGCTAGTTTCTTAAGAAATGTGTCCCTGCCCACACCTGCCCCACTTCCTGTCCCTACTGGGGCTGGGCCTCTCTGCCAGGCAGGACAGGGGCCGGGCGGGGGTCCCCCCCCAGCATGGCTGCCTTCCCTACTCCCCATCTCCTTCCAGAGGCATCATGCAACCATCCAGCTTGCTCCTAAGTGTCCCGGTGAACAGACAGGCGGGCCAGTGACAGCTGAGGCTTATAGATTGAGTGCCCTGGCGCCCAGCCTGGTACCCACTCCCTGGCAGTGCTCAGGTCAGGTCTGGGTGTGGGGGAGGGGAGCCTTCCAGGGCACTGATGTCTGGACCACACTTCTCCACTGCACTCTGACCCTCAGACACTCCTATGGGGGTCTGGGTGGACCACCGCGGTCTGGGCAGACACGTGGAGAGAGCTGGCCTCAGCTGGGAGACGGCCCAGGGCCGTTGGTCCCAGGGAGGAAGCTAAGACTTGATGGTATCAGTGTGATCAGGGGTTGTGGAGGAGGGGGGCAGGAAACGGTCTGGGCAGGGCTGCCAAGGCCACTGTGGGGAGGGGACAGGGACCTGGCTGGAGACGTGGGTGCCAAGATACCAGGGTGGCCTTGGGGTTGGGGAGAGGCGGGTGGCCCAGACGACAGCATGATTTGTGAGCACTAAGCCAGGCTGGCACCTCTAGCTCAGTTCCAGGCGCTGAGAGGTCAGAGGACCTGCCTGGGGCTGTCACCACGTAGAGACCTGTGTGCTGCCCCTGCCACCGAGCAAAGGAACATGCCACAGGCGGGGGCCCCAGGGCTGCAGGGCTCTTGCCACCCCCACTCACACTGACTGTGTGCCCTCTCGAGGCAGCCTCCCCCATAAGGGCAGAGCCCTGGTTCGGGCTGCTTCCTGGGGAGAAGGTCAAGGAGGAGGCCAGACGTCAACCCCTCACCCATGTTCTGCTGTCCCAGGAATCTGCGTCCTACCAGGTTCCCGGGCAGAGGAGGGTGCAGGCATAGAGTCCCAAATCGGGACTTCCCTCCACCCCCTGCCCAGAATTCCGTGGCCTCAGAGAGAGCTGCCAGGGCTGAGGTACCTACCTGCACGCACAGGAGCCCAGCTTCAATCCCAGCACTGCACGGCCTCCCCGGCCCTCGTGGGCCCTAATACCGCTGGGAAACCTGCCCCTCTGCCCCAAACCAAACCAGCCCAGAGTCACAGACTCCCCTTGCCAGGGGACCAGCTCCCTCCCTGATCCCAGGGGGACATCAGGAGAGGCATTTTGTGTTTGGTGGTGGTGGTGGTGGTGGTGGGGAACTGTGGTCAGCAGCAGACCCCACTGGGTAAACTGGAAGCCTGCGCAAAGCCGGGGCCAGATTCTGCTCTGGGCAGCTCCCTTATGCCCAGCATGCTAGTCGGGTCCCCTGCCCCAGCGTTCCCAGACCTGGAGGAAGCTCAAATAGTCTGGGAGAGGGGTGGGAGCCCGGCTGAGGTGTGTGGTGAGTCAGGAGGGTCTGAGGCCAGGGGAGGGAGGAAAGAGGAGGTGCTGAGAGGAGAGCAGGAGAGGGGAGGGAGGGCTGAGGGGGTCGGGTGGAGAGAGAATGAAGCAGAGGAAGAAAGGGGCCCTGATGGAACTGGGGCTGCGTCAAGGGGTCCGGGAGAGGCGGACACCAATTTGGGGCGCTGTCAGGTTGTAGCGGGGAGGTTCTTAAGGTTCGGAGGCCCGGGAAACGCAGGGCAGAGGCAGAACGTGGGCGCCTCGCGTCCAGGGAGGGGCACAGGCCTGGTGGGAGGCCAGAGGTTGTCGGGGTCTCGGGGCTGCTCACCTGTAGACATCGGTCCAGAGGTGAGTGCCGAGCACGTAGACCGCCTCCACGCGGCTACCGTGCTGCAGCCGCACCGTCCGTTCGCGCAGCATCCTGGCCTCTGCTCCTGATGCACCTGTGCCAGGTGAGCCCGCTGCAGCCTCCGCAGCGGCCGCGGCCCAGCTCGCTTTATCCGGCCGCCCGGAGGCGTGGCGAGGGCGTGGCGGGGGCGTGTCAGAGTCGTGGCAGGGCGGGACTAGGCGCCTTCCTATAGACTGCGAGACCCGGTCCTCAGGCGTAGCCACGCCTCCCCAGCTCTTCCTGCCCTCTAGTGGCCAGTGATACTCGTTCATCTCTCCAGGATTGAGCCTTCTTGAAGGACCCTTGCAAACCCAGAGGAAAGGAGATCTGGCCTCTGCCCCTCCAGACCCAAATCCTCTAATCTTTACCCTAGAGAAAGTGATGGGAGAAACCAGCTGCTCAAAGGGCACCCACCTTTTGGGCTGCTCCTTGGCGGATACTGAGTATGGCCCAGAGGGCACCTACCTTCTATGACAGCTCATTTTGTCCTTGGAAGACAGCGGTCCCGAGACAGGGGTGGGTGGGTGGTTGAGGGGCATGGCTCAGACACAAGTGTACGATTCTAGGTGGGGATTGCTAGGGAAGACGAAATAACAACCGAACTCAATGCGAGCTCTCTGCCCTGTTCCAGCGGTGTTTTTCCTGACTGTCACACCTCCCAAATAATGCCCCCCCTCCTTAACAGACAAAGAAAGCCAGATGTGAAGGAGAGGGGAAAGAATTCACCCTGAGTAGACTATGGACTGAACATGTTTGCCACTGAATGCCTCTTTTGCAGACCACAACACCCAAAAGGAGAGAGAGAACACAGGGGATTGCCCTGCCACAGAGGCGGGCGGGGGGGGGGGGGGGGGGTAGGGGGGGAGGATGGGGGGATGGGGGTGGGAGGGATGGGGGGGATGGGGGTGGGAGGGATATTATCCATGGTGGTGGAAAATGGGCACTGGTGGAGGGATGGGTATCTGATCATTAAAGTAAAGTAAAGTAAAGGCCCTCCCGTTGATCGTCGATTTGCTCGAGCGGGCCCAGTAACGTCTCCATTGGAGACTTTGTTGTTACTGTGTCTGGCATATCGAATACTCTCGGTAGCTTGCCGGGCTCTCCGAGAGGGGCGGAGGAATCGAACTCGGGTCGGCCATGTTGGCCGCTTGTAAGGCGAACGCCCTACCCGCTAGCACAGTGGGTAGGGCGTTCGCCTTACAAGCGGCCAACACGGCCGACCCGAGTTCAATCTGATCATTGTATAATCGAAATCCAAGCACAAAAAAATTGTAAATCTACAACTGTACCTTATGGTGTTTCACTAATAAAAAAAATAAAGAATTCTCCCTGGTCTATTTGACCATTGTATAATTGAAACCCAAGCACAAAAATCCTGTAAGTCTACAACTGTACCTCATGGTGTTCCACTAATAAAAATTAAAAAATTAAAAAAAAATGAAAGAATTCACCCTGGTCTTGTGGTGGGAAAACGAGCAGAAGCAGGAAACTACAAGCAGGACCTCTGAGTCACCTATTCTAGGAACCAGGCAAAGATAAGAAGGTCATAAATCACAAATCTATAACCAGAACGGAGCAGAGGAGACAGACCAACCAGGTTGTCTGAACAGGAATGGGGGGGGGGTCGCTGAAGCAATAAGTAAATATCTATATGGGACTAAAACCAGAATGTATTAATCACTGTTTGTACTTCTCATTACATAGAGGAGCAACCATTGTGTATGTTAGATGAGGAAACCGTCCCCACAGATTTATTGTATCCTGTGTATAAACTCTGTGTGAACTGCATTTGGGGCCCTCCCCATTTTGGCATTAGCTAGGGCAAGACCTCATCATGTATTAAATAAAACTTGACTCTCCCTTAATCTCTCCAGTGCCTGCAGTGCCTGTGTCTGATTCTCAGTCAGCGTCTGTAAGAGTTTTTTAGCCCCTAAGAGTGGCAACGCCAGGAAAGGCTGCTGCTGCTGGTGGTGTGTGTGTGTGTGTGTGTGTGTGTGTGTGTGTGTGTGTGTAGGGATGTGGAGGGTGGGATGTACACAAAGTCTCTTCATTGATTGAGGAGGAAACCCATTTATAGTCCCAGCCTTCAAGGTCCCTGCTGTGACCTTGAAAAATTCACCCTGTCATTCCCAACCTCCTTGTCTTCACCTTGATCAAACTGATCTCTCGGCAGAGATGTAAGGATTACGTTAAAAGAGATGATATAATAGGCCTAGAGAGATAGTACAGCAGGTAAAGCACTTGCCTTGCACGCAGCCAGCCCAGGTTCAATCCCTGGCATCCCACATGGAGCCCTGAGCACCATCAGGAGTGGTCTCTAAGTACAGAGCCAGGAATAAGCCCTGAACATCACCAGGTGTAGCCAAAAACCAAACCAAAACAAAACAAAGCAAAAAGAGGCAAGATTACAAGACACACTTAGGTTCTTGGCACAAAGCGAATGGTCCCCAAGGAAACTCTGGCTGGAGAGTTGGCTGTGTGGTGGAGCGCATGTCTCAGACGTGTGAGCCCCTGGGTTCAGACCCTAGCACCCAGAAGAAAAAGGAAAGAAAGGAGTGACATGCTTAGTCCTTAAAGGATGCCCCCAGACCATCGAGTCTCCCCTCACGGCTCCAGCCCCTGACTCACAGCCGCAAAGTGGGGCCCCGAAGCCTGCTCTTGTGCCCAGAGCCTCCTGGGGTTTAAAATAGCTGAAGTGGTCACAGCTGTTGGCGGATTCAGGGCCGGAGGTCTGTCCCCCATCACGGCTGCTCCCGCCGCTCCCCTGGCGTCTGGGAGAGCCATGAGCCAGCGCCCAGAGACTGCGGGGGAATGAGCGGCAGCTGAAGGCAGGCTTAACTTGGGCCAGCTCCTGGCACTGACCTCCACCTGCACCCCCAGCTCTGGCCAAGCTTGTGGTCAGAGAGCCTAGACGGGGAGGAGTCAGTCTGAACTTTTCTCTGCGAGGACCCTTTCCTGGGGGTCCCTCTGAGCTAGGTTTGGGGGGACCTGGGGTGGATGGACACATATACTGTAGGGGCTTGCCTGGAGGAGACAGACCCCTCCCAGCTCATCACCCTGCAAACACTTGAACCGAAAGACCTGCCAACCACACCTGACCTTGATGGAAAAACAAGAACTAGGGGGTCACCCGTGACGCCAGGAGCCTGGGGATGTGCTGGAGCATGACCCGGCAGAGTGTGCCCATAGGCACATGGGGTGGCTGGGTGGCACACTCACAGAGCCCCTCGCTGTGCCAGCAGCTGGGGGGGGGGGCTCACGCTGAGTCACTGAGTTATTATTATCCCCACTTTGCCCAGAGGCACCCACCGGCTTGCAGTGAGGAGCGTGTCCTCCGGAGTGGCAAAATCAGGGTCAAGTTCAGCTCTGGCCACTGCTAGGGGGACACTGAGAGGACCTTGGCTTATTCTTCTTCTTGGGGTACCTTGTCCACAGGTTTATAAGGAACAATGAATCATAGACAGCAAAATGTTTAGCATGGAAGGGCCCAGCACAGAGTCCCGTCCAACAGACAGTTATGTTATGCACAGTTTTTTAAAAAAAAAAAGCAGGTTTTGACAGTACCTGATGTTGTATTTGTTTTTAATTTATTTTTTTAATTAAAAATTTTTTGTAAAATTTTATTTTACTGAATTACCGTGAGATACAGTCACAAGCTTTCATGTTTGAGTTACAATCACACAATGATCAAACACCCATCCCTCCACCAGTGCACATTCCCCACCACCAATCTCCCCACTATACCCCCCATTTCCCACCCTCCCACTGCCTCCATGACAGACAATTTCCCACATTCTCTCTCTCTCTCTCTCTCTCTCTCTCTCTCTCTCTCTCTCTCTCTCTCTCTCTCTCTCTCCTTTTGGGCATTATGGTTTGCAACACAGATACAGAGAGACCATCACTTTTGGTCCTTTATCTGTTTTCAGCACACGTCTCTCATCTCGACTGATCCTTCCAACCATCATTTTCTTGGTGATCCCTTCTCTATTCCAGCTGCCTTCTCCCCCTGCTCACGAGGCAGGCTTCAAACTATGGAGCAATCTTCCTGGCCCTTGTGTCTACCGTCCTTGGGTGTCAGTCTCATGTTATGTTATTTTATACTCCACAAATGAGTGCACCTGACATTGTGTTTTATTTATTAATTGGCACGGGCAGGGGTGGTGTCTGGTCTACACCCAACTGTGTTCAGGGCTTACTGGCTCCGTGCTCAGAGATCACTCTTGGTGGGGGTAGGGTGGGGGACCATATGTGGTGGCAGGAATTGACCTTGAGTTAGCTGCATATAAGACACATGCCCCAACTGCTGTACTGTCACTCCAGCCCCTCATAGTTTGGGCTCTTAAGACCTTCAACTGATGGATTGAGCCCCATGCCCAATAGGGAGGGTGTCAGCTTGACTCAAAGTCTAATGAAATTATTCTGCTGGTGGGTTGGGTCACTACCAGTGGTTCTCAGGGGACCATGCAGGCCTCCATGTAAGTATGTGTTCCGACCGTTGAACCACTCTCTGGCACTAAATGTATCAGTGGAGACTGGAGAGATATCCAGAGGTTAAGGTGTTTGCCTGCACGCACCAGACCCAAGTTTGATCCCTGGCACCCTCTATGGTCCCTGAGCCCCTCCAGGAGTGACCCCTGCGCAGAGAGCAGGGAGTCAGCCCTGAGTACTTGTGGGTATGGCTGCCCCCAACAGAACAAAACAAAAAGTTCATCTATGGAGCTGGGAAAACAGCTCAGAGGGTTAATGCAAATGCTTTGTATTTGGGAAGCCGGGGTCTGATCTCTGGTATCCCGTGGTCCCCTGGCATCTCAGGGAAAAGTCCCTGAGCCCTGCAGGGTGTGGCTCCCAAACAAAATAAAATAAATAAAAATTTACTGTCACTGTTACTGTTACTGTTACTGTCTCCCGCTGTTCAGCTGTTCATCGATTTGCTCGAGGGGGCCCAGTAACGTCTCCATTGTGACACTTGTTACTGTGTTTGGCATATCGAATATGTCACGGGTAGCTTGCCAGGCTTTGCCGTGCAGGCTAAATACTCTCAGTAGCTTGCCAGGCTCTCTGAGAGGGCCGGAGGAATCGAACTCGGGTCAGCCATGTTGGCCATATGCAAG